ATGGGGTTTCACCTTTTTGGCCAGGTTGGTCTCAAACTCCTGACCTCAAGTGATCCACCCGCGTTGGCCTCCCAAAGTGCTGGGATTACAGGCTCGAGCCACTGCGCCCAGCTAGGAAACTTCTTAAATTAATTTGGGCATGTCCGCTCGATGGAATATTAAGCTGTCATTAATAACTGTGTAGTATAAACATATTATAGACATAAAAAGATGTTTAAAATATTTGTCTATTGGCTGGGCGCAGTGGCTCGAGTTTGAGACCAGCCAACATGGTGAAACCCTGTCTGTACTAAAAATGACAAAATTAGCTGGGTGTGGTAGTGCATGCCTGTAATCCCAGCTACTTGGGAGGCTAAGGCAGGAGAATCATTTGAACCCGGGAGGTGGAGGTTGCAGTGAGCCATGATGGAACCACTGTATTCCAGCCTGGTCGACAGAGCAAGACTCCCTCTCAAAAAAAAAAAAAAAAAAAAAAATCTGTCTATTAAGAAAAGTGTATTATAAAACACTGTGGAGGCCTCTCTCTATGTGTACACCTATGTAGAGAGATAAATAGAATAATATCTAGCTGACGCCAAAGTGGTTTTTGTTTGCTTGTTTGTTTGTTTTGAAACGGGGTCTCGCTCTGTTGCCCAGGCTGGAGTGCACTGGCAAGATGATGGCTCACTGCAGCCTCAATCTCCCGGCTCAAGCAGTCCTCCCACCTCAGCTTTCCCAGTAGCTGGGGCCACAGGCGCCCAATCACTGTGTCCAGCTGACTGACTCCAAAATGTTACCGGTGGTTATCTCTGGATGGTGGGATTAAAGGTGTTGGATTTTAAAATGTTTTGTTTTCTGCTTATCTATTTTTTTCCTTTCTTTTCTTTTTTTTAGATGGAGTTTCGTTCTTGTTGCCCAGGCTGGAGTGCGGTAGCTCGATCTCCACTCGCTATAACCCCTGCCTCCTGGATTCAAGTAACTGTGATTCTCCTGCCTCAGCCTCCCAAGTAGCTGGGATCACAGGCCCCCACCACCACGCCTGGCTAACTGTTTTTTCTTCTTATTGTTTTTTTAATAATAGAGATGGGTTTCACTATGTTTCCTGGGACTCATGGAATCCTCTTGCCTCAGCCTCCTGAGTAACTGGGGCCATGGGCACATGATGCCATTCTAATTTTTGTGCAAAGGTGTTCTGCTTGTATAACTAAAGTGTGTGTGTGTTTTTGCGTGCAGCTTAACTGCCCACTGCTCTAGGCTGGGTGTTCTTCACCCTCAGAAGTTTCTCCAACGTGGCTGCTCACCTCAGAGGGTAAGAGAGGCAGCTGTTGAGGCATCAAAAAAATGAGCATCAGGTAGACGGCCTCAGCCTGATCATAACAGCAGCAGCTCACTTAGCACTTTGCAAGGGGTTTCCACACACATTATCTCATTGGAATCCCACTACGACCCTGTGAGGTTACATCATTGCCCTTTTCCAGGTGAGAAGACAGGCTCCCCGTGGTTAAGTGGCACCCCGGGGACAGTGCAGGAAGTGACGGAGGTTAGTTCACAGCCTCTGACCTTCAACTTCGGCACCCCAGTGCCTCCCTGACTGAAGTCCCTGACAGCATCTAGCATTTGTTCATCCACCTGTCTCTGTCCCCCACTGACCCTGGTTTCTGTAGGAAGTGCTGGGGTCTTACTTGAGTCACCATTCCCAGAACTTAGTACACTCAGGCATCGGTACATGCTATTGAATGAAAGGATGAACATTCAAACCTGGAACCCGGTGGAGCAGGTCATGGTAGATAACAAACTTGTTTTTTAGGACCCCCCCCCCCTTTTTTTTTTTTTTTTGAGATAGAATCTCGCTGTCGCCCAGGCTGGAGTGCAGTAGCCCGATCTTGGCTCACTGTAGCCTCCGCTTCCTGGGTTCAAGTGATTCTCCTGCCACAGCCTCCTGAATAGCTGACTACAGGTGCCCACCACGCAGCTAGTTTTTGTATTTTTAGTAGAGATGGGGTTTCACCATCTTGGCCAGGTTGGTTTCAAATTCCTGACCTCTGGTGATTTGCCTGCCTCAGCCTCCCAATGTACTGGGATTATAGGCGTGAGCCACCATGCCCAGCCTAGACTGTGCATTCTTATACTTGCTATAGTCTCTATATTTAATTCTCTTTTGTCCTTTAATATTTGCAAAGCTCTTTGGAAGATGGCTGACAGCAAGAGTTGCCACAGGAATGGCTCTGCCTAGATCTGAACTGGTTCCTTCTCACTACACACACCCATAATTGGAGACAGCCACCCCTGAGGCCAAGGGAGCAGAGAGGAGGCTCTTGGCTGGCCCCTTCACTACCTGAAGGGAGGGTTTCTATCTAGGACCAATGCTTGGGAAAGATGAAATTCTACACACCGAGTCTTGCTGAGTGTAGCCCTCCCTTCCACACCCTGGCAGACCCCAGACCCAATGGTGTGGAGGTTCCAGGGTGGGCTGCAGATACTGGGGCTGGGCCAGTCAGGGAAGGCATCCTGGAGGAGACCTGGAAGGCTGGTTTAGGAACGGGAGGAGGCTGGGCTGAAGGGAGAGAAGCAGGGAACCTGCTCCGGTAGTCCTGGATTATTTAAGTACAACCAGATGTGCTGGGAATCTTCTGTCAGGCCCAGGCCCAGGGAAGGCAGAGTGGGGGTGGAGAGATCTCTGGGCCATTTTGATTTGCAGTTCCCCATTTTGCCCTGGGTCTGTAAACTTTAGGGAGGGAAGAAGCCCAGTAGGGTCCCAAGGTTCCAGATGGGCTAGCATGATAGAGGGTGGATCATGCAGGACTTGGGGGAGGCTTCTGCATTTGGACAGGGAGGAGTGGGCTCAACCCCGAGAACCTAGGGGGAAAAAAGGGGCTGGAAGCTCTCTGGGAGTAGAGCTACTAGCTCTGCTAGGATGCAGGACAGATAGGGAAGACTTTACAGAGGAGGGCATACCTCAGTTGGGCTCTGAAGGATGAATAGGATCTCACCAGGCAGAATAGGGAAATGAGAGTCTAGGCAGAAAGATTCTAAGGCGTTAAAAAGGTATGAGTGTGGACTGGGCTTAGGGGCTCATGCCTGTAATTCCAGCGCTTTGGGAGGCTGAGGCGGGTGGATCATGAGGTCAGGAGTTTGAGACCAGCCTGACTAACATGGTGAAACCTCCGTCTCTACTAAAAATACAAAAATTAGCTGGGCATGATGTCGGACACCTGTAGTCCCAAGTACTTGGGAGGCTGAGGCTGAAGAATGGCTTAAACCCGGGAGGTGGAGGTTGCAGTCAGTTGAGATCCGGGAGGTGGAGGTTGCAGTCAGTTGAGATCCTGTCGCTGCACTCCAGCCTGGTGACAGAGCGAGGCTCCATCTCAATTAAAAAAAAAAAAAAAAAAAAAAAAAAAAGGTATGGGGGTTTAGTGAGAGTTTCTGTGTGATTATAAGGTACATGGTGGGATCAGTTTGGAGTGCTGGCTGAAAAGCTATGGTGCACTATGTCCAGGATGGTCGGGGGTGGACGTGCTTCTGCTCACAGAAGAAACAGCAGGGCCACATGTGGGGTAAGGATTTTGCAAGTGGAGTATCAGGGTCTCCAGGTTTTGGGCCCCAGGGAGCGAGTGGGGTCTGATAGCCACCCAGCTTCTCCTCCCAAGCCTGAGCTACATCTGCCCAGAGGGAGGAGCATGTTTTCTAGTTCGCCCGGAGGCTCTCAAGGACTCCTAGGCTGGGTGTGGGGTGGGGATCTGATCCAGACACAGCTTGTCGCACAGTGGGAAGGGAAAGCTGGTATACATTCATGAAGAATAAGAGTTCGGGGGTGGTTTGGGAGGCACTGGGAACTGAGCCTTGGTGGCCAAACAGCAAGAATGAGACCGGCTAGAGCTTCCATTTGTGGGGAGAGCAGTCTGAGCCCTGGGCAAGTGTGGTGGGGGGGAAGCCCAGCTGGGTGTGGTGTCCTATGGGCACGCACCCCAATCCCCAAGCCGGGACACGTTTCCTTCCTTTCCTGCTCATAATGACTTCTGAGTGGCCAGTCCAGAGGACCACAAAGAAGCCACCCCGCCCTTTCCTCTTCCTCTCTTCCGTTTCTTTCTCCCTTCCTCCCCCCACCTCATCCTTCCCCCCACCCAGGCCCCTTTTCTTTCCTTCCTTTTCCCCCCACTTGCTCCTCCTGCCCTCTCTCTCTGGCTTTTACTTCCTCCCTCTAACTCTCCCTCCTCCCTCGAAAATCCTTAGTGCTGATTCTCCCTAGACCCATGGAGTTATTTTTCTTCTTAACACTTTTAGAAAGCCCTTGTTGCAGGTCTCTGGACCAGGAAGGTCACACACTCCCACACTTGTGCTGCACACCCAGAGGCATGCGCCTGCAGCAGGTGCCTGCACTCAGCCACGCAGCCATGCATAGCACCTGTTTCCCCTGGGGGTGGGATGGGGGTGGGATCCTCCACCTTGGATGTGATACCAGCAAAGGGGCCAGGAAGGAATGGAGGGCCCTCAGCAGAAGCCACACATTACTGCCATCATTACCACTATTATTATCCAATCCATTGCCAGGCACTTGACCTGCCTGGGGGTGATCACAACCACCTCAGCAGGGGCTCTCAGGGCACAGATCCTTTGACGGGGGACAGCCAGGAGTGGGGTCAGCCCAGAGTCCTCAGTGATCAGTCCCTGAGGGCCTTGTCCAGGACGGCAGGGGGTAGAGATGTGATGAACAGCTTTTTGCCAGTACTAAGTATTTGTCAGCCCAGGAGACTGGATGATGTATTAAAAGGACTTGAATGAGCTCTGGGAGGGAGAGCCACACTTCATTGCGTGAGCACTGGTGCAGGGTGGGAGATGGAGGGCTGAAGTGATCAACCTCACCCCCATCTGCTAACTAAACCTCTTAATGTGACCCACGGCAGTCTGCCCATTGGAAACAACTCAGCACTGCCAAGCTGCTGGCCTTGCCCCTGGAGTCCAGCAAAGGCCTTCTCCAGTGTGCTGATGCCTTTTGCCATCTCACTAGCAAGGCTTTTCTTAGCTTTCAGCTTGTCCCTTTCTTTACTCCTGGACTCCTGGAAGATGAAGGAGAACTCCAGGGGAGTGTATGATCAATTCCTTCCTTCAGGCTGGGCCCTCAGTCCAACCCCCTCTCCTGTCATACCCCCTACCCTGGAGCCTAATGTCAGGATCCCTGATGGCAATGCCAGGCTTGGCTTCCTGGCACTGATCCTGCTGAGGGACCTAGCTCATGTGGACATTAGTCTTTCCCTTAGTTCCTGTTTCTGGCTCTTGGGGAACCTGACAGGTAGGAGTGGCAAGAGTGCAGTGAGTTCTAGATCCAGCTTTGCTGTGTGACCCCAACTGTGTCACTTCTCCTCTCTGGGCCTCTGATACTCCAACAATGAGGAAATATTCAAGGAGTTCCTTCCAGCTGGCAGCCTGGGACTGTCCCTCCAGCAAGGGCTCCACTCTCTTAGCATGGTGGCCGTGGCTCCCTTCATCGTGCCTTTCTAATTCTGAAGCCAGGGCTACTCTAGCACTCTGAGCCATGCCACATCCCTCCTCCTGTGCCAGGGTAGGGTCCTGGGGGTGTGGAGTGGAAAGAAAGAGAGATTCTGAAGGTGGAAGAGACAGTGACCTTGGCAAGTACCAGAGCCTGCGTGGGTGCTGGGTGCTTCCATACGTGGGCTGGGAAAGAAGTGGGAGCTACTGAGACCCTTCCCTTTCCCTGAGTGGCACCTAAAGGAGTGCCCCAGACCCGTCAGACCCCAGAGGAATCCACATTAGGAGGAGGGAGGGGGCAGTGTTTTGGAGTCCTGCAAAAGGGGACAGAACCCTTATCTGCAGGCTAGGTGGTGAGTGCCAATCTTGCCCTACTGACACTCAGGCTAGAGAGCCATTCAAAAGGGAAAAAAAAAGCCCTCAGGAGAGAGGACCCTTAAGCACTGCCCTTGGGTGGAAACACCATAGCCTTGGGACATCTGGAGGATCCACATCAGGAAGGTTCTCCTGACCCTGCATCATCAGCACGGCCCCCTTCTATCTTCTCCTGGGACAAAGTGGGTTCCTGGGCTTTATCGCTGATGAAGCCTTGAGAGAGAGAGAGAGAGAGAGAGAGAGAGAGAGAGAGTGAGTGTGTGTGTGTGTGTGTGTGTGTGTGTGTGTGCCGGGCAGAATTCTGTGTACCTTTCCACTGGGAGCTCCAGGAAGACAGGGCCATGCCTCTTGGACTCTCTTGGGTATCCCTGGTGCCCAGTCCAATGTTTGGCACAAAGTTAACACTCAGTATGTATCTGTTGAATACACAGAGGTGTCTTTGCACACCTCTAAGTGGACTAGAGGTCTGGGACTCATCCTTCATGCCAGTCGTCCTGTTTGGCCCAGTGTGACTGTGGCCTTCTCGGGAAGCCCTCCAGTGGAGCCGCTGTTGGTTTCACACCCCGCAGTCCGCTGCCCCCCTCCAGTGCTCGCCCTCCTCCCCTCACCCACCGTGCCAGAGTAGCATCAGCGTAGAGCAGCGGCCTCGCCTGGAGGTGTGTCCTGCCCTCTGCACCCCTGGAGGACAGGGGAAGCAGAGTCCCTCACGCAGTGGGTGCTCAGCACACCTGGGGGCTGAGGAAGTGAGCAAGTGTTCACCAGGTTGTGGCCAGAGGGCCAAGGCAGTTCTGGGAGAGGGGGTCTCTGGCGGCCCGCGGACGGGGCGGGCCCAGGCCGGCTGCCTTCCCCTTTGCCCTTCGACCCAGGAAGCCGCCCACATCCAGCGGACACGCTCGACGGTCTAGGCTGCTCAGTCCAGGCCTCGGTCCCGGTCCCGTCCCCGGGCTGTCCCCGACCCCTACCCGCCGGCCCGACCCCCACCCCTACCCCAACTTCCCGCTCCGACGGCCGGGAGTGGCGGGGCGGGCGGGTCTGAGAGTGGCGAAGGACACTCTCCACACCAAGGGTCATTTGCTCTTTTTTCCCCTCTGTGGCTAATTTATTTTAGAGCCAGGGGCGGGAGGGGGCGGGGCCAGACGGGAGGGTGGCGAGGAGGGGCCGGGCGAGCCCAGGGGAGGTGGGGGCGGGGCGGGGCGGGGGCGAGGTGGGGGAGGGCGCGGAAGAAGCCAGGGGTGGAGGGGCCAGAGAAGGGGCGGGAGTTGGGGGAAGAGAGGGGCACTAGGAGAGGGAGGAGCAGGGAAAGGGGAGGGGAGCCAGGGCCTGCGAGGGAGGGCGCTGGGGGCGGGCGAGGGGAGGCGGGGGTGGGGGTGGGGGTCTTGCCTGCGGGGGGAGCCGGGGCCGCCCCTTGTCCGGCCACCCCCACTGCCCAGTCCCGCTCCCGCCCGCGGCGGCCGCAGCAGCCGCAGCAGCAGCGGCTCCAGGATGGTGAGCGCCGCTGCCCCCCAGCCCAGGCCTGTCGCCCCTGGCCCGCGCCCCAGCCCAGGTCCCCGGGCCGGACGCGCCCCCAGGCCGCGCACACTCACCTAGGACCCGGCCGGGATGCCGAGGTACGGGACCGCGGACCTGCCGGGGTCCGGGGTTGGGGGAGGTGACCGTTTGGTCCGGGTGTCCGGAGCTTTGTCCGCTAGTGCGGGGCCGGGGAGGGCCGGAGAGGGAGGGGGCTGCGGATCGCGGGTTTCACCTCGGCTGGGGTCGGAGGGCAGGGCCGGCGGGAGACCCTAGCGGGTACGTGGGAGGCGAGGGTCACTTCCCGGGGGGAGGGGGCGGCAGAGCCGGGGATCTCCGCCCGGCCGCGACGGGCACCCGCCTCACAGCCCCCTCTGGTGCGGAGGCTTGAGCGAAAGCGAACAGCCGGCTCGGGGGGCGTCTGCAGGCCTGGGGGTGGGGAGCCGGGGTTTGCGGGTTCAGGTCCCAGAAGGATCCAGCGTCCGGAGCCCGAGGGCCGGCCAGCAGGCCCCTCCCACTCCGTCAGGTCTTTGTCCAGCGGCCCCTGTGTGTGTGGGAGGGGTGGGGGCTGGGTTACTGGCCCGGAGATTCCCCAGCACGGTGACGGGGCAGTGACAGGAGACTGAGGCTACTTAGGGTCCCGGCGCCCCTAACGCCCACCCTCTTCAGGTCTTCTCCTCTGGCCCGGGAGAACAGAGCCCCAGTCTCAGAGTCATGGCTTTGTACTCACCTTCACCCTGGGGGATACAGGCTACAGGGGGGACCCTCGGAGCTCCCAGGTCTCCAGAGAGGGCCCCTCAAAGTTCCCCACCGCAAGAGCCCTCTCCTGGTCTACACGGAGATTCGCATGCCAGCAACCCCCTCCTCAGAGGGTCCTTCGCAGAGTGTTAAGCACCCAGTAGGTGATCAGCAAACGCTGGTCCCCTTCCCCAGCCCCGCTGGTCCCCCTGCTCCCGCCAGAGGAGGAGGGCTGGAAAGGGGTCGGCGCGGGGCAGAGAGCGCGCGGCCTGGGGCCTGCGCCCAGCGGCGGCCTGGAGCGCCGGGGTGGGTGGATGGGTGGGTGGGCTGTTAAAGGGACGGTCACTAAATCAGGATTAGGCCGTAGGGCTGTCAGGCTGCCGGCCCTGTCTCCATGGATACCTAATTTGGAGGAGAATAGAGGACGGAAGAATGTTTGTGTTGTAGTCCGCACGGGCTGCAGCGGCAGAGCCGGCTCCTGCTCTCGGCGGGGCAGAGAGGAGTGGGGAGCTGGTTCCAGCCCAGCTCTGGGCTTACGGCGCAGAGGGGCTTCCCGGTTCCTGGGGCATGGGGCCTCCTCAGTGGAGCCACCCAGTCTCTGGAGTGGGCTGGGAAGCCAGATGCCAAGGTGCGAAGCCCTCTGACCCTGCAAGGGACTCCCGGAGCCTACCCCGAAATCCCACAGCCTCCTCCTAAAGCGGCTCCCTCCCCGAGCCTCTCAGTCCGGAGCCGACGCCGTTCCCCGCAGTGCCTTAGCCCCCCAGGGACGGGCGCACAGGGCAGCCGGGTGCTGCGGTGCCGCCGCCACCCAGCCGTGGGGACGCCGGTACTCGGTGGCCCTCCGAGCTGCGGGCAGGGGGCGGGGCGGGACTTCCTGGGGTGGGCGAGGAAAGGGGCGGGGCTTGCTGGGGTGGCTGGGCTGGACGGGTGACAGGCCTCGTAAATCCCCTTTCCCATGTTTAACACCATTCTTTCCACTTGATTCCATTGGCGTCCATGGCAGACGGGTGCGACCCTCGTGCCCTCGCTGTAATATCTTCTGGGCGAAGCCCTCTTGGGCCAAAGGGAATTAGGCTGTGTGGGGCAGAGGAGTTGCTCCTGCGGAAGCGTAGATGACCCGCATTCCTGGGGGGGGGATTCCTCCTGCCCCTTCCCCCTCCCCAGGAGAAGAAGAAGGGGCTGAGAGACACAGAAATGAGTTTGGCTTCGGAGACCTTGCCCGGTTCTCTGGCCGTGGTGTGGCTGAGGGCTGGGCTGAGGATCCTGTGACTGTCAGTTCCAGTACCAGCCTGGGGGAAGGCTAGGGAGAGCCACCCAGACTGAGTGTGGTGCAGCAGAGCCCTTTCCTGTCTTTCTGCTCACCCATGGGCACAGCTTTTTATGGATCAGGATTCCCCTCCCTGCCCTGCCTGGGCCGCAGCTTTATTGCCGAGAGCTAGGGCTCTCTACACGCAATTTCACGCCTCTCTGCCTTTGCTCCCGCTGTTCCTCCAGCCAAATGCCTTCCCCATTGTCCCTGTCTTTCCACAACCTCCTTATTCTTCAGGGCCCAACTCAGATGCGCCTCCTCTGCATCACCTCCCCAGCCCCAAGCTCCTGTCACTTCCTTCTCCCTCTGTGGCCTGCACCGGTGCTCCCTTCCGCCTCTGTGGCAGGGGTCCACACTGGGCTTTGACTGAAGTGAGCATGTGCTCCCTGGTCCTGCCACCACTGGCTCACCACAGGGCTTGGCACCTTGTGGGTGCCCCATAAATGTTGGCTGAATAAAAGGGGTTTTGTAAGGGCTTTTAGCCAGAGTTTGTATAGCATGGAATCTGGCCACTTTCAGGTAAACAGCTCTGTGCTCTTGGGTGGTAGAGACCCTTGGATGGGTGCTCCTCCTCTCCCTTTCCCTTCTTCTCCGCCTCCTTCTCCCCATGACCCAACCCCCCCCCCCACCAAGTCCAGGGAGGACTTTGCCCCTTCCCTTTTCCACAGACCAGCATTCTTTCCCTGCCATTATCATCCTGTTAAACAGAGAGGCCAGTCAGGACCCATATGGATCACATTAACAATTGCTTATTATCTGGGGCAGGACTCCCCCGACTCTCCCCCCAACCCCAGCTCTGACTGCTGCCCCTCGCTGGACCCTTAGGAGCCCTCCCTCCCCCTCCCCCCACTGTCGGTCAGCTAGGGAGGGCAAGGGACAGGCTGGTCTCCCTTACCTTCCCTGTGCCTCCTAGCAGAACTTTGCCTCTTCTGGACTTGGGAGTTAACAACTCCTTTACCTGATTTAATGAAAACCAGGTTCCTGGAAGGAGTAGGCTCCGTGAAGTTCCAGGGCTGCAGCTGGGAGATGTGGACTCCAGGCCTTGGTGCCCCTGTGCTCTGCAGCCCTGAGAACCCTTGCTCTCCAGGGGACAGAGACTGTGGGTGGGGGTGGGGCACATGAGGCCAAGCATGGGGTGCTGGCATCTGCCGCCTTAGCCTTGGGTTGATCCTGCCCCCTTTTGGGAGCTGGCTGTCTGGTGAGGGAGATCAGGGCAGAGGGACCCTGCCAGGCTCTGTGGCATTGGGTTCCCAGCCTTCCCCTATAGTCAAAGCAAGAAATCTGCTAGAGCTTCCCAGAGCAGCTGCTGAATTGGCCTTGAAGGATGGGGAGTGTAGTTCCTGTTTAAACCCATATATATCCCAAGAATACTTTCATAGGGAACGGAAGGAACCTCCAAGATTACCCATTCTGGGGGTCCATAACTTTTTTTGATTTACAGAGCCCTTGGAGGGACTGATGAAAGCCATCCCCAGAAAAATGCACTTCCATTAATGGACACCAGACTTTGCATTCTGCTTTAGACGGTTCTTGGATCCCCTGAAGCCCATGGGGACCTTCTGTCAAGAAACCCTCAGGCCAGGCACAGTGGCTCACAATTGTAATCCCAGCACTTTGGGAGGCTGAGGCAGGCAAATCATTTGAGGTTAGGGGTTTGAGACCAGCCTGGCCAACATGGTGAAAACCCATCTCTGCTAAAAATTCAAAAAAATTAGCCAGGCGTGGTGGTGGGTGCCTGTAATCCCAGCTACTGGGAGGCTAAGGCAGGAGAATCCAGGTGGCAGAGGTTGCAGTGAGCTGAGATCGTGCCACTGCACTCCAGCCTGGGTGACTGAGTGAGACTCCGTCTCAAAAAAAAAAGAAAAAAAAAGAAACCCTCACCCCAATCCAGCCCTCTCCGATGTGCTGAGCGCAGAGTCAGGCCTGCAGCCTGGGTTTCCTGACCTGCCCACTCAGTGTTTGATCCACCACCGCCTTATTACTAGCAGCGGGACTGCCGGAACCAGGGGACCAGGGATATGAGACCTAGGTGCTGGGCCAGCCTTTAAGTGGGAAGAGTTCACACTGCCTGGGTTGGGGTCTGGGCTGGTTGTCTCATCTCTGACTGTGTGGCCTAGGGAGAGGCTGTCCAGGCATTTTTTCGTTTTAGGGTCCACTTGCCTCCAGGAACAAGTGGCAATTGCTCTTCTCCGAGCAGTTTCATAAGCATCTTGATGAATCAGTTAACACTTTCACACACTTGTTAAACACTCTGTATCTCATCTGCGAAGTGGGAAAATCGAGTGAAGAATGGTGTCCACCTCCTAAGCAGGGTATGGTAAGGATGAAAGGAGGCAGGAGCTGGGAGACCTGAGTCCTATGCTTGAATGACTCTAGGTGCAGGTGCTCAGGGCTGTGGTCACTATTAGGCCTTTTCCCGGTTTGCTCAGCCAAGGAAAGGGGACTGCAGTGCGAACCCCCTGAGTGCCTTCTGTCTTTTCCTTTAGTATGGAGGTACGGGCAGTGTCAGCCTTTGGAATTCATCTTTAGGGCTGGAGGCTGAGTGGGGAGTTCTCAGTGAGTGGGAGAGCTGGACAGAGTCCATGGCCTGCCTCCGTAGCCCCAACTCCATTTTATGATGACCAGTCATGACCCCTACCCTAGAGACCAAGCTTTGAGCTCAGTGACTCCCGGCTGCTAGTCTGATGTAGCTCCAGACAAGAAACTTCATCTGTTTGGGTTTCAATTTCCTCATTTCTAAAATGGGGATAAGAAGCTCACATGACGGTGATGTAGCCCTGGTTTCCTTTTCTTTTTTTTTTTTTAAGACGGGGTTTCACCATGTTGGTCAGGCTGGTCTTGAACTCCCGACTTCATGTGATCCGCCCGCCTTGGCCTCCAAAGTGCTTGGATTACAGGCGTGAGCCACTGTGCCAGGCCTTTTTTCCTTTTCTTTCTTTCTTTTTTTTTTTTTTTTAAGACAGGAGCCCTGGTTTCATATAGTCTACGCCTTTGATTCTGAAGCCCACCTTGGTGACCCGCTCAGTGACGCAGGGCCCAGGGACTCCAGAGAACAACCTTGTGGCATAGGAGTGAGGATGGGAAAATGACATGTATGTGTGAAAGTTCTGGCTCACAGCAGTGCTTTCCCAGGTCATCTTTAAAAAAAAAAAATTGTAGAGTTGAGGGTTGCCCAGGCTGATCTTGAACTCCTGGCTTCAAGCAATCCTCCCACCTTGACCTCCCAAAGTACCGGGATTACAGGTGTGAGCCATTGCAACCAGCCTGCCAGGCCATTTTTGAAGCCCTGTCCAACACAGAGTCAGGGCAGAGACGGGGTAGGGAGGTGGATGGGGGGTGGGGAGGTGGATGGGAGGAGAAGCAGCATGGATGCCTGTAGGAATCTGGAAGGTAGCAGCATACCTCCCTCTGTCCCCTCTCACTGCCTGGGCAGACTCAGGACACATGGTCCCCAGCCCAGTGTTGTGATTAATCAGGGACGGATGGGAAGATGTGACAAAGAGGCTGCATTGACTCTTTTTTTTTTTTTTTTTTTTTTTTAAGACAGAGTCTCCTCTGTCACCCAGGCTGCAGTGCAGTGGCACGATCTTCCCTCACTACAACCTTCACCTCTTGGGTTCAAGCAATTCTCATGCCTCAGCCTCCTGAGTAGTTGGGACTGCAGGTGCATGCCACTGCACCCAGCTAATTTTTTTGTTTTGTTTTTTTGTATTTTTAGTAGAGATGGGATTTTGCCATGTTGGTCAGGCTGGTCTCAAACTCCTGGCCTCAAGTGATCCGCCCACCTCAGCCTCCCAAAGTGTTGGGATTGCAGACATGAGCCACAAAACCTCATTTACTATTAACAAACCTGTGCTGAGGACCTATGCACTGTGCCTAGTACTGTGCAAGGCTCTGGGTGAATCTCAGCTGCTCCCGTGGGTGCCCAGCCAGGGCTGGCCTTCTTGAGACTCCCCACACATGCAGTGGACACCTATGGACCAGGCCCTGAGCTGGGGCTTTTATGCTTTGGGTCTTCCTTAATCATGAAGCCTCCTACGTGGCCAGGGAGAGCCCAAGGGTGGCCCCAGCTTTGGTGTTGTTTTGCCATAAGCGCCTAGCACGTATCATGGCTGTGAGGCCTTGAATCTTTTATCCAAGTAGCTATTCATCCAGCAAAAATTATTTTCTGATGTGACGTTACCTTCAAGGAGCTCACAAGATGTTGGGAACCAGTGAAGAGGCAAAGGGACAGGCTATGCTTTTAGGACCACTGTCCCTCCATTCTCTAAGCAGAAGGAAGCCTCAGAGGGTATGTGAGCTGGGGAATGGCAGCCTCTGGGCTCTGGTGAGGGTACAGGACAGGTTCCGGAGGCTGTGAGGGGGAGGACCAGCATCTGACAGCAGGGGCTTGCATCAGTGGATTCCTGAGCAGATTGCCTTTCACTGGGGGAGGCTGTGTCGGTGGGCATTAGAAGCAAACTGAGGCAAGAGCCAGTGCTTGGGGAGAGTCCACCTGCAGCCGATTGCCCTATTTGAC